TGTGCTCTTCCGATCTCCCCAAAACCCCAAAACCCCAAAATCCATCTTTAATTAAAATGACTAAAATTATTTGGAATTATTTTTATATTTCAAGTTTAAGGATTAAATTTTATTATTCAAGCGGGGAGCTGTATCTAAGAGGTAAGTTAGCTTTTCTCTAATTTTTTCTATAGGTCTATCTTATCCTGCTTCTATTATAATTCTTTACTAGCATCCTTAAGAATACCAGTTGCTTTCTTGCTGAATGCTATAAACACATCCTTAATTTGCTTTTCCACTCCATAGTTATAATCGTGCATCATATATCCGATGGTAAATGCGCATGGGAAGCAGTACTCGTGACCCTCAGGTGATATATTATTACCTTATTCGGATTCAACCCTATCAATATCGTGGCATCTTTTCTTCATTTTCTTGCCATTTACTGAGCATAATTGCTTCTCCTCATCTTCATTCAACAATATGAAATCAATCTTTGACATCAATTCATTACAATAATCTTCAGGATTTGCTTAGAGCTATGAATCAACGCATACATTTAAGAAATCCATGTCGTACCTATCAATTAAGGTCTGATAAATGAAGGCATAGGTGTAAATAATAGCATCTTCATACTTAAGAGCAGGGTTGTAAGATTTCAATGACGTGAAGAGCTCCTGATAAGCTTCACACATCACTCCAATAGTAATGTCATCTGAGGGTTTGGTTGGGTCAAACCACATATTGGAATGCGAGAATATATAGTCCTCACATTTTTATGTGTAGTTCTAATAATCTGGCTGATAACTATTGAGAATGTTGATAAGTTATAGTTTATCATTCATAGCTTCTTAAATATTCTTGCAGTAGTCATCTGCAAATGCTCTTATCTTTTCTGGAAAGCTCACCCCTAATTTATCAATATACTCAATAACAAACAGACCTTGATATGCGCAGATTGTTGGCTTGAGAGAATCTAAAATTTAAATTTAAATGAAATTATTCTACGTTGAATGTTTGTGATTTGAGGGAAACAAATATCGGTGGTCAAATTAGCATAAACACTCATTGGCTGAATCTTGAATGCTTCTTGACTAAACAGTTCAATAAATCTGCTTGAACAAGCTTTTTAGTCTTATGTTAATGACAGGACCTATGATAAAAGTTAAGAATCATTGTATTTTACCTTTGCTACACCAACAAGAAGGAATATCAATTACTATTTCATTTTTATTTATTATTATTATTTTCAATTTAAATTGTTATCTATTTGGTTTTATGGGGTTTTGGGGTTTTGGGGTTTTGGGG